AAATAACTACCGTTTGAAGAGACTGGTGGAATGTTCTGAGACTGGATAAAAGAGGAATACTGAGAAAAGTTGTTATTTGTAGAGATTAAATTTTTCCTTTTTTTATGTTTAGGTTGAGAGTTTGAAAGAGGCGGGGAAGAGGATTGAGGAGAGGAGGAGCTGGCTTCTTTAACAGTAAAAGAATTTGTAACGACACTTTTAAGACGGTTTGCGACATCAGCAAAAGTGTGGCCCTTGTGGACAGTACCCGAACGTTTGATTTGGGCGGCTTCCGAAAAAGATTTGTTTTCAACCGCCATGATCCTTTTGATGTCCTTTTGAATAGACCATTCAGCACAGGAACGGTCGGATGCAATATGATTTAAATTACAATTGAAACATTTTGGAGCAGTAGTTGGACGAATTTCGCACGTGTCGATGCAATAATTGAATTCACCACAATGACTGCAACGTTCTTTACTGCGACAGTATTTTTGAGTATGCCCAAACCTCAAGCAACGCATACACTGGACAGGTGAACGAATACTGGGAAACTGCATGAATAACTTTGAAAATGCTAATATTTTCAGGGAGTTTAGGTGAAAGAAATTTGATTTCAACTAGTTTTGTGGGAATTAGGATGTTATCCCGTTTAATATTGATACGGCGAAATTCAACAGCTTTATAGCGGCACTCGAAACCTTCCCAGAAGTCGTCTTCGGAAACACAGATCGAGGTGTATGACTCCAAGGCTTTAAATAAGAGAGTTTGGAATACTAGCCGTGAAATTATTTTCAGATAGCCATGGAGAAATTAGGCATATATTGGCATAATGTAGAGAGTCAAAAGTAATTTTGACTCTGTACGAACCAATTGGTGATATGCTGGTAATACCTTTGAAGTTATTAATAAAAAGTTTGCCTAACTTGACAGGATGCAAATTACCAACATTTTTTTTTCTGTAGACGAAATAATTATATGTAGGGGGCCGGTATAGTCACTGGAAAATGTTTCATGTACGTTGAGTTGCTTTGCGCCTGATATGAGACTGGGTCTGAGATAGGTGAATTAATATTCAGCTGTATATTAGTTGGACTATCTTTAGTCTCTAAAGTACCTTCCGTAATATTGTTTTTAAGAGGAATCGTTGATGGTGTTCTTTCAAAAGGCGATAATGGTGGTGACTTACCCGTAGAAAATTTGTGCTTTTTTGAAAGTGCATATAATGATATAGGAGAGTTGGATTTGTTTTTCTTGGACGTAGAAACCGTGTCATTACCATCTTGAGATGACAAGGGGGAGAACCGATTGCGGCCCGGCGAAGGCGGTATGCCGGCACGGGCGACGGTCAAGGCCGCCCGGTAATACAATGAAAACGACGATGAAGAAAATAAAACACAGTAAATTAAAATTTAAAAATGATAATTGCCACAAAATTAGATAAGGGAGCGAACAACAAATACGTGTGTGCAACCCAACTGAATAATCGCGACTGATATATTATTAATTTTCCATTATTTATATTTAGTTATTGCATTGTACCAACCAGGCAACGTAATATATCTTATCTAATTATACATTTATTATATTATTTTTTTTATATATGTTTTAAACCAAAGTGGCTAGATTACAAAATCCTGATTATTATAAATTTATTATTATTTACAATTATTACTATTATTATCATGATTATTGAATTATACAGTCCACTTAAAGTTTAATATTATTTTTTCTATTTCATTTTATTCACACAGCAATTATTCCAATAATACATTTTCATTATACAGCTGTTAAAGCACCCTTATTATCCTTTATAAGAGCTGATAGCAGCGATATTTTGGTGACCTCGACGTGATTAAGCACGATTTTGTTTGTGTGAATTTTTTCTTATTTTATTTAAATTGTATGTGTTGCGTGGCATCATACATTTATAATCAAATATTACTCTAGTCATTAATTTAAAAATTCTTCAGGTTGGTTAACATTATATTATTTATGAAGTATTTTAAAAAAAAATTATTTTTGCTATATTTAAATTTTTTGATTACATTATTATCATTACTAATTAAGATTTATTGTGTTGTTTGGTTTACTTTTGAGTGTTTATTTGATTATTATAGCGATACATTAAATCCAGCTTGTACTACATATATAAACATCCTACATTATGGCACCTACAGATCCAGGTCAAATACCGAAAGAAGTGCTAAAATAATTGCGTAAGTTAATCAAAGCTCGTGACGAGATTATGGCATCAATAAACTCCATCAATGACTACTACATCAATTTTAATATAGAAACTTCATCTGTGCGCCAACTGAAAATTCGTATGTTCAAGCTAATTGAGTTTATTTTCAAATTTGGCATAGCTCAAAAGGTTTTCTTTGACTTTGATCCTGAACGTGAAGACGATATTGACCAAATCACTTTCAATGATTTTACTTTTACATTAATGGCCAATATGGAAGATCGTATTGCAAGGCATCAGCAAATTGAAACTCCTAACCCAACACAATTTAGCGATCAATCACATACTTCAATTAGTGAAACAGTTAAGCTCCCAACAATCAAAATTCCTACATTTAATGGTGACCTGGAAAATTGAGCTTCATTCATCGATACCTTCAATGCACTATTTCACAACAATTCTAGTCTCAATAATATTCAAAAACTGCATTATCTAAAGTCAAGTGTATCAAATGTCGCTTCTGATGTTATTAAAGGATTCTCAATCAATGCCGAAAATTACCAAGTTGCCTACAGTGAACTGGTCAAGCAATTTGAGAATACGGCATTAACTATCCAAACTCACATTCGTGCTTTGTTAAATTCATCCAAGGTTCATACCGCCTCTGATGCTGAGCTTCGAAAGTTACACCACCATGTAATTTCTCTCTGAAACTACTTATTGGATCGTCGTGCAGTTTTTTTTAAATTAAAGAGGATATCACAGAGAAGGTTTTAGGCGTAAATTTAGTCCGATAAAGTTAATAAATAATTAGTTATTAATTATCTATATATATCTATCTATCTATTTATTACATTATTTATCATTTATAACGCTAGAAAAAAAAGAATTAAAATAAGAATTTTATAAAACTTCTGAGCGTATTGTTACGTGCCAACCGTTTGATCCGTTAATTCAGTTCAACGTTTCAGTCAACGCTTGATTGGAAGTGTAGTCAGGAATAATTAAGACTTTTTTAAAATAATTAAATTTATTTAACTCGTAAAATTATTCTAACTACAATTTTGTAAATATTCTTGGTAGAAATTATCTAAGTCCTAACAATTGTAACTTATAAAAATGATTGAAATATTTCTAAGTCCAGACCATAACATACACTGACGTGAAGGTGCTCAGTGCAGCATAGCCAAAACTCGTCTGATTTGCCCTTGTTTTCGGATCCCTTTTATATGTGATATTGTATGTGTGTGTGTAAAATCCCAAATGTGTGTGTGTAAATGAATAAGATAATAAAATAAGATAATTTCCTATAAATTGTGAGTGTGTGTGCGTTATCTCCAGACCGTGACATAATTATTGACGCAAATGCCCAGGATGTGGTCACCACATCATTCCGATAAACTATTTTATTTCAATTTCCCAGAAAAACGTTTATGTGAACCCTTTCACTTGTGATTTCGATATTCTAATTCCTTGTTGTAATCTCTAGTGTAATAACCACGTGAACACAATAATCTAACTTATCCATAGTTGTGGTTTTTGATGTACATGGGAGCCTCCTTGTGATGTGTTTTACCGTGTGACTACGCGGGACGCGACAGTCCCTAGTATGATTCCAATAATTGCTTTATTGCTGTACAAATTTTCTAAATAAACAAAGTTTATGATTATCTGTATTTAATTAGATATTAATCATTGTTGCCGTCTAAAAGAGAGTGAGAGATAGTGATGGTAAACTGCTATTTTTTTTTTTTTTTTTATAACATCTGATAATGCTATTGCTGTTTTAAAATAGCAGTGATAAATAGCAGCTATTGCTATTTTGTAATAACAGCTGATAATATATTATATAATGATTATCATTAATTTTAAATTTGATATTTTAATAGCAGCTTATGTATATTATACCAAATAGCAGTCTATTAGATCATTATATATATATATATATATATATACTAGCAGACCCGGCGAACTCCGTTTCGCCACCAGATTCGTTTTATGTAACATTTCGTTTGGTGATTAAAAGATAAAGAAAAAAAATTTTTTTTGTTATATATTTGAAAAGGAAAATATTTATTTAATTTCACAACAGTAATAAATTCATTTCAATTACCTACTAAAATGAAGTGTTATTTAATTGTTTCATTGTAGTGCTCTTTGGTAAACCACATTTTTTGTTTTTTGGTCTGACGTTAACACAAACAAAGCGGATGGTTTCCCAACTCGTGAACACGCAACGTATAACTGTCCATGTGAAAAACAATGATTTTCCAAATTTATCCCGCAAACACTAAGCGATTGGCCTTGCGACTTATTAATTGTCATTGCGAACGCAAGGCGAACTGGGAATCGCAATCGTTTGAAGTCAAACGGAAGATCAGTCGGAATCATTGGTATTCGAGGAATACATACATTTTCACCTGCGTACTTTCCGTTAATAATGGTTGCCTCAATTAAATTCGGCATAAGTCTCTTTACCGAAAGTCGAGTACCGTTGCAAAGTCGCGGTGGATTCAAATTACGCAGTATCAAAATAACTGTACCAACTTTCAGTTGCAAGTTATGTGGTGGAAATCCTGGTATCTCCAGAGAGTTCAAAAACTCCGTTGGATAATTTACTACATCATCGGGATTTGTTATTGAATCAACGGATTTGTATGTCACCAAATCGCCAGCAATTTTTGATTGAATGGTGAAATTCAGTGCGTGGACATCATTATTCTTTGCTGCAAGAATTGCTCGTTGACTTAACCAAGCATAATTCTTATAATTCTTATATATATATATATCTTATATATATATATATATCTTCTTATAATTTCACTTATAATTCTCACACTTGGTTGAATGCATCGTGCATCGATCGATTTGGCGCAATCATTCCTACTTCAATCAGTAGCTTGTTTGCAATAGTCAAGCATTGATCCTCAATCAGAATCAATCCTTCATTGTAGATTTCATCGGTTATTTGGATGTCAGGATTATTCGTTTGAATACGCAAGCGATGCAAGATATCTTCACATATGGCGTCTTTGTATTTGTTCCATAACTGAATTGGTTGTGAAGGAAAACATGTGGTGATGATAATTGCGAACAGCGTTCGTATTTGGTACGCATTTGATGAAACAACTGAATCTGCAAGTGTTAAATCCCAATGAGAATCGTTCTCCAGCAAACCCAATAGTTGACATGCTTCTCGATATGTTTGGCATTGGTGGCCATTCACAGTTTTCAAATGCGCAAATGATTTCGGTCCACGTACATTTACTAACAGCAGTCGCAAATAAAAACATTCATCGTTTCTAGGATGAACAGTGTACATACGACCTAGTGCATCAGTTGAAAACACCTGTGGCCAGTCTGGAACTGGGGTTCCTTGTTTGCGACGTTGGAATTTCTTTGTTGATTGATTCCAAGTGTAATACTTGGGCATTTCAACGTACATCAGCGTCGCTGCGAATGGATCTGCTTCACACATTGCAAAGAAGCTAGTCAATGTTGTCGATGGTGGTCTCTCAGCTCGTTGTGCCGCATTAGCCTCAGTGAAGTAAACTCTTTGGCCATTTTCCAAATGCACTGCTAAATGTACAACTGTGGGATATCTTTCATGAATTTGAAATGACAATAATCGCCACAGTGCTTTATTAGTACTGACGTATCTGCCCATTTGGAAGTTGCTGATTTCGTCATTCACATTTTCCGACGCAATACCAAACACAGCCATGTCGCTGCCTTTTGTGACGTACTTGCACAAATATTTGATTGATTTGGCCGAATGACAACTCTCAACGTTTGCATGTGTTTCGAAAATTCGTGATAGCAGCGGGCAATATGGTACAATGAATTCATTTCCGATCTCAATCTCTTGATTTTGAACTTTAACTTTGATAGTTCGACCGTTATCTTCTTTTGAACGCCGACGATAAACTGGATATCCATCGTTCCCTGTGACTGTTTCAGCAACTAACGGTCGCGGATATCGTTTTGTGCATTTTCCATCAGCCATGCAAGGCGATAATGGATTTAATGCACCGCACGGTCCATGCACCATCTGTGTCGTCACAATGTCGTGTAGACGGGGATCAGTGACTGGATCAGGAATTTCAGCTGATATGATGTCATCCACTTCATTTGAATGTAATTTGTTCAGCAACCAAATTAGGATATGAGCATGCGGTAGTCCACGCTTCTGCCATTCCACCGAGTACATATAACAACGTGTGTCACCAAAAACTCGATACTTAGTAAGCACATCCATCATAACCTTGAGTTTTTGCTGAAATACTCTGGCGATTATGTCATGGCGATCTTGCGGTTTTTGACCCGGTTCCAACTCGCGTTCAATTTCCGTCCACTTCGGATTGCATGTGACCGTAATAAATAAATCCGGAGTTCCATAATTTCGCACGTACGTCATAGCGTCTTGAGCGTATTCGTGCATGTGGCGTGGGCTTCCGATATAAGTTGATGGGAGAATCGTCAGTCGTCCAATATTCTGAACATCACCATCTGAATGAATAGCATCACGCAAGTGTATATAGTACTCAGATCGTAGCTTTGGCTGATTGAATCTGATGAACGCTAAACGTTCGGTCTCGACTTTGACATACATGTCGACAGCGAATTGCTGGAATAGCCGACCGCACTTCAGAATGACATTCTCCTCATGTGTACGAATCATCATACGATACGCATAGTAATTCATTGCGCTTAGATTTTTATTATTCGTTGATACTCCTGAAAATGCAAAATTAAATGAATTGTTAATGGAAACCAATAAAAGTAATAATGGAAATAATTAGTGTGTGAATATTGTACCTGTAATTGGATCGACCATCTTCAACGTGATGTCGTATCCGTCTTGCCCTTGCCAATAAATGATTGGATATTGTAACGCATCGTACAAACGATGTGTCTCGTTTACACGATGCATGATATTGCTTCTTCGCTGAACGACAATGTCTCGTGATTTAGTTGGATCGCCAACAATAATTGCAGCAACATCATTAACGGTGGGTGCATTGAATCTTCGCACATGTTCACCTGTTGGAGTACAATCCGCTCTTATGACAAATTTGTGCGTATCCGATGGCATTCGTTCCAATGCTGTTTTGAACATATTAACCACAGCATTATTAGCGTGAAAAAATGCTTGCAACTGTTCAATAATTCGTCTCTTTAACTGTTGTGCTCCCTGTATATTGCACCGCACGTTCAGCTGATCCACCATCGACGAAATGAAATATATTTGCAGAAATTGATGCGGTTCATCTGGTGTTGGCACCATTGAACCATGCAAATGATATATTTGACCTTGTATCTGTAATTGCAAATAATCATTAAAATTTGTTCATGAATACATTGTAAATCGTGTGATGGTGTAGTGTGTGGTGTATATGAAGTTGTTATGTGTTGCAATTATGTGTTGGTTATGTGTGTTGTATCTTTTACCTTGCAAGTCGGCATGAAGCCGCCTTCTCGAATGATATTAGCTCCAAAGGAAGTCATGCGAAAGCAGTTATTGTATTCAAGGATGTGTTGAAGAAAATGGCTGGAATCGGGATCACTTCCATCAAACAATGTTTTCAGTGGCTGTGGTGGTGTAAGTAATGGATCCAGTTTGACTTTTCCACTTGCGCAGCACAATCCAACCGTTTCTCTTTTGAACTTTACCGCATTGCAATATCGGCATATAGTCGTCATTCGTCCAATATCCAAATTTTCATCATCACTGTAGTTCGCAGTGGGATCATATTGGAATGCCAAGCGATTGTATGATGCCAATGATCTTCGTGTGCTCACGCGATGTCTCAATCGGTCATTTTCTCTTATTATATTTTTTCTTTCTTCTCTTAAGTTCCTTGAATAGACTTGTTGCTGGCTTGCATGTCTTGTGCGGCGGCCGATGTTCGCACGTCGTTCTCTAGGCATTTTGGACTATGGACAGAGTGTTGAATTTAACTTCAAATGCACGATCCACATAATTTACACTGAGCTTAAATGAAATTAACTGAACAGAGAATAATGACTATCTATCACACACTTTATCACGCACCGTTGCTATTGGTTTGAAGTACATGCTATGTATAATAGATGGCGCTGTATGTGAAAAACGATTTCCCCACTTTTCTGTTGAATTTTTCCTGAATTTTCCAGAATTTTCTTTGCTATAAACCTCACGGAGCCCAAGACCTTTCCAACGAATGCAAAACCGTGGAAATCGGTTCGTGCGTTCTGGAGTTATAGCGTCAGGGAGGAAAACCGGACTTATTTTTATATAATAGAAATATATATATATATATATATTTATTTATATCTAAAATCTGAGCATACCATAAGCAACGGACAAGTTTAGACCGTACCTCGAGGCGCGACCGTTTGAGCTGTACACCGATAATGTAGCCCTAACATGGCTACACAGGGCAAAGGACAAGAATTCAAAATTGACGAAGTGGGCACTTCACCTACCAAACTTGGATTTCCGTACGATACACGTACCTGGAGTCAAAAACGAGGGACCCGACATGTTGTCGCGACATCCCACCCCTGGGCCACATGTAGACGAAGACCAACTAGAGGAACGACTAGTAGGAGTACCAACCTCATCCAAACCCACCATCACTACTAGTACCCAGGTTGACCATATCTTCGCAACATCCAAAACGGATGCCGTACGTAGCGACGCCCCGTTCTCCATCACTACACTCGCGTCGTGGCAATCCGACGACCCCCATACGCGAGACATCATTAGGTCGTTAAAATCGGAAACCCCCGCTCGTAACACCAGAAGCACCCACGATTTTACGGACAGTTTTGTTCTAACGGATGGCCTTCTGCGAAGGAACGTAAAGAGACACACATTAATCGTCATACCTCGATCCTGATCACAACATGTGATCTGGCGGTATCACGACCACATCATCGCAAGTCACCGCATGTCACATATGTGCATGTACCGAACCACTGAACTCTCGACCGGTTGACCCTATGTCCACCCGCAAACCCAGACAACCCTGGGAAGTAGTCAGTATTGACCTAATGGGCCCCTACCCCTACCCCTAAGAACCTTGTAGTTCAAAATGTCGATTTAATTGTACAAAAAAAATATCCGAAGATAAGAGAAATTTAATTTTTAAGGAATATTGGAAGTTAGGAAACTTATCAAGACAATGGGAATTTATAAGTCGGCATGTCACCGACATAAATCCTAAACATCGTTATCCTAAACAGAATAGTAACCGATCTTTAAATTACAGATATAGTTTTAATATTAATGGTCTTCTAGTACAAGTATGTAAAACCTATTTTAAAAATACTTTAAATATTACGGATCGTACAACTCGAACTGTAAGAAGTAAACTTCAAAATGGTTTTTTGTCTGAAGATCTTAGAGGAAAACACAAAAATCATAAAGCTATTGACCCGTTAATTAAGGATTCCGTCTGCAATCATATAAAACTTTAACCAACCATTGAATCGCATTATTTAAGGAAACAAACCTCGCGCACATTTATATCTGGAGAGTTAAATATTTCAAAAATGCATAGCATGTATGAACAATATTGTAAAGAAAATAATATGTTAAAGTGGGCAAATTTAACTGCATATCGACGTATTTTCAATTATGATTTTAACATCGGTTTTCATATACCAAAAAAAGATCAGTGCAGTGTATGCGAAACTTATAAAAATACAATACAGAAAACACATGAAATAGAAGAAATTAAATTAAAACACGATTTAGAAAAAAACGCTTCACGAAAAGCAAAAGAGATGGATAAACAAAATGCAATAAATGGAACGATATTTTCTGCATGTTTTGATTTGCAAGCAATATTGATCACACCTGAAGGCGAAATATCAAACTTTTACTATAAAAGAAGACTAGCTACGTACAACTTAACATTTTACAACATGAAAAACGGCGATGGGGCGTGCTATGTTTGGAACAACACTATTGCGGTTCATAATAGGTTTGTTAATTTGTTGGTAATATACTTATATATTCATTAAAAATTATTTTAATTTTAATACCCACAAAATATTTCTGATGATAACATTCTGAACGGTGTGATGGTATTGATTTTACAATAATGTATCTTTTTTATTTTTTGTGTTCGTACTCCGTGTACGTTTAATTGCTATTAGTTATAACTAATTTTGTTATAATGTTAGAGTTAAAGTTAATGTTTTCCCAAACAATGAAATTCACATTCCTGGAGTAAATATATTAGATTCTATTGAAAATAATAGTATGCCATGTGAAAATTTTAATTTACATGAACTAGAAATCGTCAAAGATCCAGAAATCGAAAACTTACCAACGGAGTATGTTTTCGAAAATAACGTGTTAATAAATTTTAAGTAACTACAATAACTGTTTTATAATTTCAGAATAATAACTACTGAAATCTGGTCTTAGGATTGTTGACATGTCTCATATATTTTTTCAAATTCAAAATATGAAACATGACTGTGGTTTTAATTGTAATTTTATGAACATGCAATTTGTAAATGAAATTCGTTCAGGTTTTTACTCTTATTTTAAATTTAAATGCAAAATGTGTAATTTAGAAAAAAAAATTAGTTCTACTAAAATTGTACCTAACGATAATTGGTCCATCAATAAAGCTGCCGTAAGTAGCTCTATTGCAATAGGTATGCAGACAAGATACAAAAAAATATATTTATGAATTATATAATATAAAACATATCAATTTTAAAATATTCGGAAAACATTATTTAAGAATTGGTTACACACAGTTTTCTGAACTTTTTTCTGGATTAGAAGTACCATCAATGTCCCCTGCAACTTATATTTCAATAGAAAATAATCTACAACTTGAAATTAAATATACTGCGTGGGATGAAATGCAAAAAGCCGGAGAAAAAGGGAAGAAATTGGCAATAGAATCCGGTGACATTGATATAGATGGTATTCCTTTGATAACTGTGGTAACAGACGGTCAGTGGTCGAAAAGAAGTTATAGTACGAAATACGATGCATTATCGGGAGTAGTAAGTATTGAAATAAGCAAAATGATTTAAAAAAAAAATAAATTATCAGTGGGTAATATTATTTCTATTTTAGGCAAGTATAATTGGTTATAAAACAAAAAAAGTTTTGTTTGTCGGAATTAGAAATCGATACTGTGTAACATGTGAGAGAGCATTGAATAAAAAAATGAAAATTCCAAATCATTTTTGTTTTATGAATTGGAATAAAGGAGCTACAAGTATTGAAGCTGATGGAATTGCAGATGGATTTAAAAAAAGTATCGAGTTGCATGGAGTTAAATTTTCTAAATTGATCGGCAATAATATAAAATATAAATATAATCCAAGTTTACTAATTAAATATGAATAAAAAATAATAACGTATATATTTAATGTTTAGTGTAACACATAAATAATACAATTTTATATTATAAAATACATTTTATACAATATGTGTAATTTAGGCGATGGAGACAGTAGTGTTATAAAACGATTAAATGAGATACTTCCAAATGGACCGTCATTGAGAGTGCGAAAAATTGAATGTAGGAATCATTTGTTAAGGAATTATTCGAAAAAAATGGTAGCATTGAGTAAAAGAACAGACTTTCCAATCGAAATTAGAAAAAATATACAGAACAACATTATAAGGCTAAGAACTGACATCTGACAACTGATTATCTGCAGCTTGAAGTTCCAAGTCAGTCACAATTGTCAACATTTTCAATTTCGCCTGTGAAATCAAGTGTGGTGGCAACTTTTTGACAGATAGAGCTAAACTTTTGAAAAAATGATCAACATCATCGTACTCATCCGTATTTTTTTTTTTAGTGATCAGTTGTGTCATCAGCTCTGTTCTTTCTTTTGATCGTTTTTCTAATAATTCAGTGACTTTTAAATTTTTTCTTTTATGAGTCGATTTTTGTGATTTTGAAGTCGATGGAGATTGAGGACATTGCGTTACTGGTGATGACTGCAGTATATCATCTTGTGTGATATTTATTTCCTCTTCGTCTGAGCCAGAATCTTCATTATTATCAGTATCATATATATTTGAAGTAGTGCTGTTAAAATGAATAATAAATATTAATAATTTGCTATTATAGCCATCACTAGGGCAAGGATGTTGTAGCATTTGCATCTTTCCTTCTACTGTTCCAATTTATTGCTAAGTAAGTTTTAAATGTGTTCCATTTAAGTACGAATTAAAATCTAAAACTCTTAAGTGCAATTTTCGGATTTTTTTCAATTTAGTTGAACTTAGTCATTTACACAAAAGTTTTAACTATTTTTCAAATTTTCGATTCTGAGTGTAAGAATGTATTGATTTCACAATGGTGTGTTTTTTTATTTATGTATTTTTATAAGCATTTAAAGTTTGAATTTTAACAAAAATACGTAAATATCATGAAAATGTGCAAATAATTTTTAGTCAGAAATTCATAAAAAATTTTAGTGCAATATTGTAACCAATTTTACTATTGTTTTACTACTACAATGTCCGTACGCTAGTCATATCTTAACTGGGTGATTGATTTTACGAGCAACACAGTGGCCAATCACTTTATCATGATACCATTTCTTGCATTTAGCCATAAATTACCAATAACTTATGGTCTTTACTGACTATGACGCAAAACATTAAAACCCCACAAAACTTTGAGGAACTGTATCTCGATGACGGATAAACGAAAAATTTAAATTTGAATATTATAATTCATAAAAAAAGCTATACTCGTATCTATATATTTATGGAATTTATAATACATGTTTCCATTTTAAAATCAAAAGTTATAGTGGTTAACTAATAAATATAAATGCAAAAAAAAAATTAAAATTAATTGAAGTTAATACAAAATGTGGCCGCATGTCTTCGTATTCCTGGTGGGACTATTCCTGCTAATGGATATATATATTTAAGTGGCGTTGGTTTAAGGTAACCAGTTATTATCCTACATATCTCATTAAGGGCCGTGTCGACATGTTTTGTGTGTTTAGATTGGTTCCAAACTGGGCAAGCATACTCACCTGCTGAGAAACAAAGTGCTAGTCCAGTAGTACGGATCGTGTTTGGAGTTGCACCCCACTTGCTACCTGCTAGTTTTCGTATTAGGTTGTTCCTTGCTTCAACTTTCATTTTAGTTTTCTTACACTGCTCTTTGAATGTAAGGGTTCTGTCCAGTGTGACCCCTAGGTAGACTGGATGTTCTGTATTTCCCAGTGGTTTTCCAAGCCATTCAACTTTTAGTTCTCTTTTTGCCTCGCGGTTTCTAAGGTGGAAGCTGCATACCTGTGTCTTATCTGGGTTGGGTCTTAGTTGGTTTTTTGTGTAATAGTTTGTTAATTCTTGAAGTGATCTGGTGAGTTTACGTTCGACTATTTCAAATGTTGTGTCCTGTGCTGTTAGGGCCAGGTCGTCTGCGTATAGGAAATGTTTTGTTTCTTTGATGATGGGTTGGTCGTTGGTGTATATGTTGAATAGCATAGGCGCTAATGCACTGCCTTGGGGTAGGCCATTTTGTTGGTTTCTCCATTTGCTCCATTTGTTATTTAGTGTGACTGTAAAACGCCGGTTGTGTAGCATAGAGGATATAATTTAGACAAGGTGCCAGTCACTTGTGCATTCATATATTTTCTTAAGTAGAAGATTATGATTCACCGTATCAATGGTGCAGATTAACTTGTAATTAGCGGTATCTAGTGGAAATTTAGTAGTATTTTTAAAAACAAAACAAAACACCATTACGATACAGAAAATAATAAATATGCGGTTTCGTTATGTAACTATGCTTCTAAGGGTTAAATAGATTGCTTTATAGTAATGTTACGTGGTACCCAATAAAAACGGGTACCTATCGTAATGATGTTGTTGGATCAGGGTAAATTGATTCAATAATTAATTTAAACACTTGTAAACACTTTAATAAATACAGATACAAATATAAATTATAAATTCGTGCACTAACAATATCGAAGACGAAACTCAGAAGGGCTTGGTCTGATAGCTGGACACGTCTCCCGTTGGTGGTGAAACGGAGCCTTTATATACTCTGTTTGATTCTATTTTAATTGCGTTGTTTTCGGCACGTGGCTATTCTTGGCCTGGTTGTCTTATTTGAACGATTGATGTTCGCGGTTTCTTGTAATCTGAGATTTTGCGCGTGGCACTCGTTAAAGTTTATGTGTGCAATAGTTATTTTTGGTACGTTTTTATGACTCGGAATATGCGTATTATTACTTCTCAGTAATATATGCATATTACAGTAACAATCCATACAATTCCGCACCATTATTTTTATCATAGTGTCATTGTTTGTTGATAGTTGTCTTAAATCTTCTAAAGAATTTGAATATTCCAATAGTTTATTTAAATTGTTTTTTTATAATAGATTTATTACTATTTAAAATCATTAATTTATCTAAAATAACATTTCTATTGGCTACTGGAATTTGGAGGTCAATTGACACGTTTAACTGTGGGATAATATCTTTATACACTTTCGTAGTTACTTTTCTCTGTGATATTAGCAATGTTCCATCATTTGTATTGGCCTCAAATTGATTACTTAATTCTAAGATTGCCATACCATTTACATTTACTGTTTCTACTTCAGATATATCTTTACATTTAACAATGATATTATTCTTATCTGTAATATATATCCACGAATTTGTGTCTTCTAGCCTATGCCACATACTTTAATTAAAAATTGACATTTCTTAAGTTACATTGATCAAGTATTACACCGGATTTTCCTAAATATCATTAATTCACATGAATTATCTAAATTATATAGCTGTTGATCATAAGGACATATTAATGTTTTTGTTATTTGGTTACATTTTGATAATTGTATTTTATTTAACCCTTTCAGACCGGTGGGTCACTAAAATGACCCACTAGTTAGATTACGTATAACTAATTAAATAATAATGCTAATTTAATTCTGTCTTGATAACATTGTAGAAAATATTATCTTGAATATAGTAAAAATATAAAATATATGATTTTTAGTAATTTTCACACATATAATAATATTTTTTGTAAAATATTTTGAATGAAAAAAAATTAAAAAAAAAAAAAATTATTTTGTTCGTTATAATTTTACCGCTAGATCGTGCCCTATGAGTAATTTTTATTTTATTGCTTAATACTTTATGAATCATATGTTGTTATCGCCATGCACGTGATTCAATTTCCGCTCCTTTGTTAGGTGATTGAACATTGGTACATTGTAATGACCCATCGGCTTCTACGCCCATTAGGCCATGTGCAAGATTGTTGTTTAATTTGGAGGGTAATATTGTTATCACACGTTCGTGCAATCACACTTGTGTATAGTTAATTATAATTATTATCACAATAATTGAAAAACAATTACAACCTATTGTGTATTGTAACAATTGTTTTATATATATTGTGCTTTTTCACTCTTTTTTAATTTATTTTTATTGTATCGTGGAAAAATGGCTAATAAATTAACGAGACAAGGAATATTAGAATTGTTAGAAAATGGGGAAATTTCTGAATTAGATATTTCAGATGATGAGGAAGACAACATAGCAGTTGACAGGGAAGATGATTTTCTGGGTGAAGAATTAGATGGTTTATTAGAACAGTTTGACGGTAATTTAGATTATTTTATGGATACTAATGATACTAATGCTGTTGATAGTTTGGAAACGTATGATACTATGGTTGTTGATACTGTTCCCCTTATTGCTCCTCCAAGAAATGAGTTTCCGATCACTCCTAAAAAAAATATAAAATGGTTACAACAACCATTTCAATGTCCAAATATTGTATTAGAAGACATTGAAACACTATCAGGTTGATTTTTTACGTAACCCTATTGATTTTTTTATGGAATATTTCGAGTATGATTTTTTTGAAACTATAGCGTTTAACACCAATTTGTATGCTGTACAAAAATGTTTAACAAATTTTAAACACACAAATAAACAAGAAATACAAACATTTATCGCAATTCATTTAATTATGGGATGTTTGAAGTTTCCAAGGATACGTATGTATTGGGAAGAAAAATTTAGAGTACCATTGATTTCAAATTCTATGTCCCGTGATCGTTTTTTACAGTTACGGAATAATTTACATATAATTAATAATTTAGATATACCTCGTAATAATGTAGATAAATTTATAAAAGTTCGACCCTTGTATAATCAAATTAGAAAAAAATGTAATAATTTATCGAAAGTCCGAAATTTGTGTGTCGATGAGCAAATGGTGCCGTTCAAAGGCTAATTATCGGTAAAACAATATATGAGAAACAAGCCCAGTCCTTGGGGCGTTAAAATTTTTGTTTTGGCGTCTGAGTGTGGAATTATTTATGATTTCATACTATACCAAGGCAGTTTAACAGAATTAGATCAAAATCAATTGAAATAATTTGGATTTGGAGCTTCGGTAGTTTTATTTTTAGTACAAACTTTGAAAGAAAAAACTCATTTTTTATATTTTGATAATTTTTTTTCCACTTATTCATTATTTGAGCGACTTTATAATCTCGGTATATATGCATCAGGAACAGTCAGAATAAATCGTTTTATGAATCCACCCTTATTGAGTGATAAAATTATGTCAAAAATGGGTAGAGGATCGACGTATGAAATACAATCTAATGTCGAAAATGCTTGTGCCATAGGTTTGGTAAAATGGTACGACAATAAATCAGTAACATTAGCCTCAAATTTTATAACATCTGGTACACTTGATTATGTACAACGATATGATAAAAAACTAAAACAGTACGTTACAGTTGAAAGGCCAGAGATTGTAAAGTTATACAATGCCAGTATGGGTGGTGTAGACAAATCGGACCAAATGATTAGTTTGTACAGGACTTTTATTAAATCTAGAAAATGGACGCTTAGAATGATTTTTCACGCATTTGATTTAGTAGCAAGTAATTCATGGTTACAGTACAAGAAGGAAGCTGAGGAACTACTTTTACCGAAAAAAAAATTTTGGATTTTCTACATTTTCGGCTTCAGTTAGCTGAAGAAATGATTAGTACTACTCTACAGACTCCGCCAATGAAAAAAAATAGAGTAGGACGCCCAACTAAACTTTCTTACAGTTCTTAAACACCAACTTCATCATTATCTTCTTTTCCACCTCTATATTCTTCAACTAATCGCACTGACAGTTCATTGCCTCCTGATGTGTCAAGGTATGATAGGATAGATCATATGCCAAAAATGGATAGGTTGAAGAACGCGACAAAATGCAAAAATCCTACGTGTTCTAGAAACAATCGAACCCATTTTTACTGTTCTAAATGCAATGTTCACTTGTGTCTAACTAAAGATAGAAATTGTTTTGCAGAATTTCACAAAAAAAACTAAGTTTCATTTTATTTTTACCGCATCAAGTATTCAAAAAAATTCTAAAAAGATAAACTTTGAATTCTTAACAGGTATATATTTTATTTTTAATTCTTTATTTATTTTATGTAAGTACGAGTTGTTTGTTATTTTATTAATTTGATTTTATTTATTATACATTTACGTTTTAAGAGTTTAACAATAATTCAATGTTTTATATACTTCAGTTTTAATTTTTTTTTGTACACAAATAAAACAAGTTTTTTTTTAATATTAATGTGTATTTTTCATTAACAATTAAAGCTCCATAAAAACCTATGGGTCATTCTGATGACCCATTCCATAACTTTGAGGATATTAATGCAAAAACAATAAAAATTTGCAAATATGTTAATTAATGTACTGTGAATGTAAATATGTAAAAAAAAAAATTTTATTTACATTAAATAATTATGGGTCTGAAAGGGTTAACTCTATGTAATATAATCTAGATTTTTCTATCGCTATATAATCAGTTGTAGGTACAATTGTGTAATTAATTGTAACACAATTGTGTATTAAATCTGCTTAGCCCAAGGCTAAGCAGATTTAATAATTAATAATCAATATAATTTAGTATAGATATTAATAAATAGGTTAGTTACCTACGTAATAATCTATGTGTAGAAAATTCAGGGCAAAGGTGAAAACAACAATTAGTTTTAGCGTCTTAAAATAATAATGCTAAATCGACAGTAAAATGGGGGGCATGGTAAGAGCCTGCACGTGGCTGGCGTCCCCTGCATCGCGACATATAACCTCATACCAGAATAAATATCGCGATCCAATCTTACCAACACCGGTGCTAGAATGCCTAGACATTTAAAATCAAAAAGGCCCTTTTTAGGGCTACCTCCTCTTCCTCCGACAGCAATAAATGTGATAACACAAAATATCGAAGGCTTTTCCGTGGCTAAAAGTGAGCTTCTTACTTCACTCTGTAAGTCACAGAGGTGCGACGTATTATGTGTCCAAGAAACGCACCGGGATGAGGCCAGCGTTAGGCCAAAAATACCGGGAATGAATCTAGTCATTGATTTACCACATCCACAGTATGGAAGTGCAATATATACTAAACCAGAACTGGTGGTCGAAAGTGCATCATATAGTCATAACAACCAGATCGAGATACTAACCATTGAGGTACTAAATTGTACAATTACGTCGGTGTACAAACCACCAAACATCGCGTTCGATTTTGTAAAACCGGATAACTTCGACAACTGTGGTACAAAGATAGTTTTGGGTGATTTCAACAATCATTGTATCACATGGGGATACCAAGAAACGAATAAAAATGGAGAGAACGTTGAAACATGGGCTGAGGCTAAAGGCTTGTCCCTAGTCCACGATCTAAAACTTCCCTCATCCTTTAATAGTGTCCGGTGGAAGAAAAGTTACAACCCAGACTTAACTTTCGTAAGCGATAAAATAGCCTCCCAAGCCATAAAGAACGTATGTGACCCCATACCAAATACTCAACATAGAGGCTTGACATTAAGTGTCACAGAAGTCGTGAGATCCCAAACCGTACCGTTTAAAAGACGATTTAATTTTAGAAAGGCTAAGTGGAAAGATTTTAGGGAAAGTTTAGATAAAGAAATATGTAACTTAGACCCAAAGCCAGACAACTATGAGAAATTTGTAGAAAAAGTCAAGAAAATCTCAAGACTACATATTCCACGGGGATGTAGAGAACAGTATATAAGCAGAATGACGGAAGAAACTTGCGAAATAAATAAAAAATATGGAACATCTTTCACTACTGACCCATTTAGAGAAGAGACAGTGATGCTAGGAGAAACCCTGATTAACCACCTATGTAAAGATAGAAACGACCGATGGCATGAACTCATTGAGAATACAGATATGACCAAGAACAGCAAAAAAGCATGGCGACTCATCAAGAGACTAAATGGAGACCCAGTTACACACACAAATGATATAAACGTAACAGCTAACCAAGTAGCCTCACAGTTACTCTTAAACGGTAAATCAGGGGCAAAAATCAAAAGAGAAAAACTCACCAGAATCCGAGACTCCGAGAAAAATAATTTCCAGCTTGACTTTACTCTTGATAAACTAAATGAGAGTCTGAAGGAGATGAAAAACGGAAATGCACCTGGGGTAAACGAAGTAATGACAGAACAAATAAAAGAATTCAGCATAAAATCTAAACAATGGCTACTAACTTTTCTAAACTCATGACGTGACAAGGCCTTAGTACCCAAAATGTGGAGAAAGGCAAAAGTAGTGGCACTGCCCAAACCAGGCAAAGATTACAAAAACTCAAAAAATTACAGGCCGATATCTCTGCTATGTCATACTTTCAAACTGTATGAACATATGATTATGAATCGTATGAAGAGTCAAATCGAAAGGAAACTTATACCTGAGCAAGCTGGTTTTAGGCCAGGCAAAAATTGTACAGGGCAGGTACTAAACCTATGCCAACACATAGAAGACGGATACGAGAACAAAAAAGTAACTGGGGTGGTCTTTGTAGGCCTATCTGCAGCATTATTATTAATTATATTATTAATTAATAGTTAATTACAAGTTGTACGAGCTTTATTGGACAGCGGTTCTCAAGTCTCCGCGATCACGTCTAAATGTGCTACTCGACTTGGCTTGAGACGTAGTAAGAGTCGAGTTGAGGTATCTGGGTTTTCGCAGCAGCCAGTTAGTAAAGTGAAAGGGCCACACAAAATCAATTTGTCCCTCTTCACGCTGAAAAGCCGCAGTTTTGTGCTTCCGATGTCTTTATACTTACACACATTACAACGCAACTACCTGGTGATAAACTCCCTGCTTCAGTACGTGAGCGATATCGCCACTTGGCGCTAGCCGATCCGGAGTTTGATGTTCCTGGGCCAGTCGAATTGTTAATAGGAAATGACTTATATCCTCACATGTTACCGTCCAAGGCAGATATTATACATACTGCAGGTATGCCTTCCGCCATGAGCACTCATCTCCGATGGATCGTAGTAGGATCATTGGCAAAGTCACCAACTACGTCTTTAGTTTCGTTATCGGTAAGTGCAACGCCAGATATATATGATTTTGTGCAAAATTCTGGACAACAGAAGAACCAGATCGACCAGAATTACCGACAACAGAGGGCGATCAATGTGAAGCATGGTTTGAGAAGACAACGATAAGGGACGCCTCTGGTCAATTTTATGTGGCATTATCTTTTCGGTCGATTGTATGCACTGAAACAGAACAGTCAATGGTGCAGAAGGCGTCAACCAATGGCGGGAGCCCAACGGATTTAGGATCATCTCGTTCTATGGCTCTAAATCGTTTATATAATCTTGAGCAATGACTCGCAAAAGATTCCGAGTTAAAGGCCGCATATTGCAAGTTCATGGACGAGTATATGGCTTTGGGCCATATAAGACTGGCATCGGTACCAGGAAAATATTTTATCCCATACCATGCTGTGGTTAAACGTAAAGAACAGGGTTTGAGAATTCGTGTTGTATTTGATGCCTCGGCTAAATCCACATCAGGAAAATCATTGAATGACTGTTTGTGCACTGGCCCAAAATTACAAACAAAAATTGGTGATGTACTATTGCGCAGCAGATTTTATAAGTACATTTTTGTTGCTGACATCACGAAGATGTATCGGCAAATTCGAGTGCGAGAAGAAGATTGCGTATATCAACATATCTTGTGGCGTCGGTCTCCGAAAGAGGAGGTGCATGAATATGAATTACTTACGGTCACTTACGGTGTAAATGCTGGCCCATTTCTTGCGTTGCAATGTCTACGTCAGTTGGACTTTGACGATGGTGCAAGATTTCCTCGTGCCAAGGGCTTGTTAATTTATAATACTTATGTTGACGATATATTGGCTGGTGCTGACAGTACAAAAGACTTGCTGGATTTACAGAGGGACCTTATTCGATTATTAAAGTGTGGTGAGTTTGAATTAAAAAAGTGGGCTAGTAATTGTGACGATGTATTGAAATGTGTACCTGTCGAGAATCATGCAATAGAACTAACACCAACTGACGACACAAAGTTAAAGGTTTTAGATGTACATTGGGATCCCATTACAGATATATTTGGATATCATGCGGATATTATTAAATCCACCGGCTGCCCCACATTTTGGCGGACTATGGGAAGCAGCTATTAAGAGCGCAAAAATCCATTTGAAACGAATAATTGGAACGCAAATCCTTACAATGGAGGAGATGATGACACTCATAGTTAGTATAGAAGGTATGCTGAATTTACGCCCACTGACGACGCTCTCTAACAGTCCCAATGATTCTACTCCGCTGACACCTGGACATTTCCTAATAGGCCAGCCGATCATGGCCTTACCGGAGCAAAACCTAAGGACGTACCAACTAACCGTTTAAATCGATGGCAATTAATACAACAGGCAAACAATTATTCTGGAGTCGTTGGTCGCGAGAGTATTTACATACGCTACAAGCTCGTCAAAAATGGTATACTCCGAATCCAACATTATCTGTGGGAAATGTAGTCGTTATCACTTCTTCAAACCTACCACTGATGTCATGGCAGATGGGACGTGTCATCGATGTACATCCTGGAGCAGATCAAGTAGTTCGTGTCGCAACGGTAAAGACTGCAGATGGAGTCATGAAAAGACCCGTAGTTAAATTGGTAAAACTACCGTTAACTTGAAGAAAGGATTTCCACATATTTATATTGTATAGCTTTCTTTATTATTAATTTGATTGTAAATAATTTGTATAATGTTTAAATTTTCCGAAGTGTTATAATTTTATATATATTCTGTTTGTATACTTGTATATTTTTAAGGGATTTGTAATTTGTTATATTTTATTTATTTTTTTTTGTAAATAAGTTTTTGTTTTGAAAGAGCATGCCTTTCAAAAGCGGTAGGATGTCCGAAAATAGTTTGTCTAGAATATTCTCAAGGTAGTTCGTTGGCACAGCCGGTCTACGACCGGGCGCACGGCGGCACGTGTTTCTTCTGGGAAAAACCGGTTTGCGGGCGACGCAGCCGCGTAATTTCTAGAATTTTCAAGCTACCGTGTTCTATGGATATAAAAGGCCGACATGCCACGGACTCCATACAGTTTGTCAGTTACACAGTCAATTAGTTGTTGTTGTAATTATAGTGATCGCTGGGATAACTTTTTTATAATATTTTCATATCGCGGACAGTCACGTTTTTATCGGCATCGGGCCGAATATTATATTAAAATAGTGTATGTCGCGTTCTGCCGTTGTAATTGTAATTATTAGTGTTTTTATGTTTAATATACAGTCCACTTTTTAGTTCATTAAATTGTGTTGGTTCAGTGTTTTATCGACATTATTATTACCTGACCAGTCTCTCACGGTGTTCTATACACCCGCAAAACTTAAACCCGGATATAGTCGCCAACAACTATATATAATATACATGGGCGTTTTCTTAGAGGGGGGATATGAGGAATAGATCCCCCATGGCCTTTTTTAATGCCAAATAACAGGTATAAACGTATTGTTTATTTATTTATTTACAATTAATTTGTATATCCCTCTCCCAAAATATTATACCAATGAAGCACCACTACATATATATTTTATTTTTAACGATATATAATACCCTACTCTATCAATCAACACCATATCTATTTGAACGTTCATTGGGTCTGGACCCCCCCCCCCAAATTAAATTTCTTTTACATTCTGCGAAATATGTTTAAAATTCATTATGAACCAAACATAAATATATTACTGCTGCAATGATGTTGTTATGCCATTGTTATTGTTAGGTATATAATATAATACACTAATATTATTTATTATTATTTAAAATGTTAACACTTAGATACAATATATATTGACTAAAACTATTATACTATTATAATAAATTATACATTTTGGGTCCCTTTGCCACCCGAAACCACCCTTGATTTTTACGTTTGAAGAACTTTTATTATTATTATTATTATTATTATTATTAAACGTGATGACAAAAAAATAAAATCAATACATTCATCACTCCATTCAGAATCTAAAATATTCAATTAATATTAATAATTAGCTGTTTTCTAAAATCTTAGTTACTTTGGAATTTATACATGTGTGTCTATAATATATATAGTCTATGTAATATCTTATATAAATACTATTGTTTGCATTCATATTACCAACCTAAAATAAAAAATACAATCAATACAAAATATTTCTATCTTATTCATTCTTTTTTATTTAACACTGAAAATAATATGCATAGTTATGTATTATTCATTACAAAGGTCATTTTTCTGGACAATATTTTCTTCATTTGTGGTGGTACTGCAGTGTTACATTTTGTTTTTGGAATTAGTGCATGTTTTAACCAATTTTGTACTACATCAGTAAATGATACTTCATCTTCAGGAGTTATTATGTATCCAGATAATGTATCTAAAATATTTATTTATTTATAAATAAAAACTATGTATTACAGTTATATATTATTAATTTAATATTCAAAGGTTGAATAATATACTAAATGATAGTTTATTTTTAGTTAATATTTCGTCATAATATGATTTTTCCATGTATTTTTAAAAATAGTAAAAAAATGTGTCCATTTGTTTTATATTAAAGTGTAGGTATACATATTTAATTTTAATACATTGTTTTACCCTGAGAAATATTTAATTAAAATTATATGGTGTCATTCAAAAATTATCATGATAAAAATTTGTAAAAATATAATTATTTTAAAAATTTCATATTTCTTTATGTTTACTTTGTGATAATTAATTATATTATGTACCTACAATACTTTTAATAAAAAAAGGTTTTTTTTTAAATAAATGATTCTTTATCGTTTTTTTTTTTATTTATTTCAATAGCTGCATATTATAATCTGTATTATAGGTAATAAGTAGCCATTCAAAAACATTAACATTTTTAAAAATTAAGATAAAAAGAAAACCAAACAATTATATTTATCTTTTTTTTAAGGTGGGTATATAAAATAAAAAATAAAAAAAAAACTATAGATAAAATGAGTGACTTGAGCAAAATATTTATTTAGAACTAAAACAAACTAACTTTATATTTTCATACCTGATATAACTTTAAAAATATTCAAATTACTGAATTTCAATTTAGTTTTTCCTTTAAAACTAAAATTTGCTGCAATTGTGCGGGTCATAACAAAACTCATTGCAGTCCGTACTGCTGAATTCAAATGTTTATTTCCAATTTTAAAGAGCAAAAAAGACTTCTGTAACAGTAATAAATATTATATTTCTTAACTAAAAAATTAAAAAGTAAAAGATAATTTTAATTTATATTTGTGCATTATTATCAAGTCTTCCTTATTTCTCATTAAATCATTAGAATCTGGATGTAACAGCCGCTCAACTTCACTTAAGTCCTCCATAGTAGAAATAGGAAGAAGATCAATAAACGCTGCAGATAATTTAGGTTGCAGAAATGCTAGTGCTCGAAGACGTTTGTCTGCTTCCAGAACCATGTTTACTTTTTTATTGAGTGTCTCTAAATATGTACACATTTTAGCTTGAGTAGCATTAAGCATTAAAACTTGCCCTAATATTGCCTCCAACTTGGACTGAATAGTTTTTAATTAATGATTTTTAACAAAATCATAAAGAAAATTGTAAAAACTTAATTATTGTTAATGGACTACTTGAATCAGTTAAGTTTTGTTCAGAACAAATATTATTGTTCAAAAGTTGATCAACCTTTTGTGATTCAAAACCTAAAAGATTATTTATTAATTAATTAATTATTAATAGTGAAGTCTTTCTACATTAAGAAAAAAATACAGGAAAAATATTCACATTCTTGATGATATTTGAAGGAACTTATTCAATGGTGTTTCTAGTGTAGTATTATTATAGTCTATTACATTACAGTCACCAACCTCATTATATACGCCTATGAAATAATAAGAATAATTTACTATTTGTGGTAGACACTATGTAAATATATATAATATACTAGCAGTTCTTTGTACCAAAGATTATTATTTTTTTTTTTTTTTTTTAAATAATAAATTTATTTCTAAAAAAATATATATATGCCACGTTTCTAATAATTATAGTAAAGTATCTGATTAATTAAATTATATAATATAATCTTTAGCAACCATGTATCTATATCTATATAATTATATAAAGAGGAAATATTTGATTGTTTGTATGTAATATGCTCCGAAACTACTGAACCGATTTAAATGAAATTTGGTACATAAATAGTTTAGACACTGAGAAAGGACATAGGCTACTTTTTAATACTAAAAAATGGCTGTAAGGGGTTGAAATAGGGGATGATATGTATAATATAACTTTACTGTGCGTGTGTATGTCACTGTTACTTTGCCAAATTTCAGATATCTCCGTAAGTGATGTTTCTTCAGGTTCAGATGTATAATTAATATTTGAACTTTGTTGCAGTGGCGGCTGGTGTCTAGGTGTGCAGGTGTGCGCACACCACATAGATTATCATAGATATAAAAGTAAAATTTAATTGAATTATCTACTAAATTATATTTATTTTATTATACAAAATACATTTTACAAACATTTCATATTCACCAAAACTCGAAAATACTACTCCTAAAATTTGGTAAGTTATATAATATACACACATCATCTGGTGTGCAGCTCAGTCAGAACACTTTCAGCCTGTGAAATACTCTCCGTCGTCGGTGGAGTGGGGGTTGACGCATAAATGAGTCCGTGGTGTGCAGTAATTGCTGCACACTCGGTCATACATACGGTAAACAATATCGCCACGGCGTGTCTTATCAGAAATAATCCACCGTATTTTCTATTTTCGTCATTATTATCATAATATTTGTTCCAATAAATGTATTTTTAGTTTAACAAAAGAACTTTATAATAATAAAATATGTTAGTAATCATTTCGCCTCTGTTCACTGTTATGTGTAATAGATTTATTTCATCATACTCACAATTTCATTTATATTACAATATAAATAATGAATTCGGTTGATTATCTTTTAGAAAAAAAGTTTTCTTTACATACAATTGACGAAAAAATTAAAATAAAAACATTAGGGAGACCTATGCCTGATTTGAAATTAATACAAGTTATTAAAAAGAAAACACGTCAATTTACGCGTTCATTTACCATTGATACTTACACGAAGTATAATAATTGGCTCTGTGGTTGTGATAAACGTAATGCAGTTTTTTGTTTTCCGTGTTTATTATTTGGTGGAGAAATGGTATGGACCAAAACAGGAATGACAGATTTAAATCATTTAAATGATCGAATGAAAAAACACGACTTAACTGTTAAACATATGAATAACACCTTGAATTTAGCAACGTTAGGTAAAACAAATGTTCTTTCAATGTTGGATAGCAGTTACAGAAGAGGTATTTATTTATATACTTTTTTTTTATTACTGTTTGGTCGTTTAAAAATGTATTTTTTTATTTAGGTATAGAGCTACACAATGAGAAAGTTTCCAACAATCGATACATTTTGAATGTAATTATTAATTGCATTAGATTTTGTGGCGCTTTCGAATTAGCATTGAGAGGGCATGATGAAAAAGATACATCTTTAAATTCAGGAATTTTTCGTGCTTTAATAAGTTTTAGTGCGGAATTAGATAGTGCATTAAAAGTGCACTTAGAAAAAGCAACCGTTTTTAAAGGTACGTCAAAAACTATACAGAACGAATTATTAAAGTGCATGTTAAATATTTGTCAGCAAGAAATATCAGTAGAAATCAAAAAGGCTGATTATTTAGCAATAACAGCTGATGAGACTACTGATGTGAGTGCTATTTTTCAAATGGTTATTGTTTATCGGTATATTGTTAATGATAAAGTTGTTGAAAGATTTTGGGGATTTTTGAAGCCTAAAGAACATAATTTTGAAGTATTAGCTGAGTGCATTAAAGAACAACTTGCCCAACATATTGGAGATGTCACTGGTAAATTGATTGCACAGACATATGATGGCTTCAGTTATGAGCGGCAATATTAACGGAGTTCAGGCAAAAATTAAACAACATTATCCAAATGCTAATTATGTACATTGTTACGCTCATCAGCTTAATTTAGTTATGGCTAATGCTGCTTCAATAAATAGGAATGTTCGGATTTTTTTTGCTAGCCTTGGAGGTTTTTGTAAATTTTTTTCAACGTCTTCTCAAAGAACTGCTGTTTTGGACGAAGTTGTTCAAAGACGTTTACCTAAAGCAGCTCATACAAGATGGAATTTCCATTCTAGAACAGTAAATACTGTATTCGAGTATAGGGAAGAATTAATTACTTGCATGGAAAAAATAATAAGTGATGAATCCATTAAACATATACCTACTATTGAACAGGCATCGGGACTAAAAA